ATATATATATATATAGACACGAGTCGGTGCGTATGCCGTCAAAGACGCACATATACATACCCACACTCGAGGGCATAGATACACGTTGGGAAAATTAGTCTCTCCATCTCAGATCGCTGATGCTCGTGGGTACAGACGTGGGTCGTGGTGTGTCGCCCCCTCTCGGGCGGACAGCAGGTCGAAATGGATACAGGCCTGTGAAGAGGGCTAATTAGGCCAAATGTGTCAATAGATTTGAGGATGTGATAAGAGCCTGCTGGAAAGCAGCAGTCTTTTATTTGTCCCTCTCTTTCGCCCACAGCCAGGCCCACCTACACGAGTGGGGTGGGCCGGAGACGAGTTGTGCGCTGTATGGGGCGGCGACGGCGGTGGCGATGGCAGCGACGTCGGCGACGTTAGGGCAATCGGCTCAGAGGCACAGTCGTCGGTATGGTCTCGTCTCATTTCGTCTCGTTTCGTCTCGTTTCGTCTCGTTTCGTCTCGTTTTGTCTCGTTTCGTCTCGTTTCGTCTCGTTTCGTCTCGTTTTGTCTCGTTTTGTCTCGTTTTGTCTCATCTCGTCTCGTCTGCTCCCATCACCCCAGGCTAGTAAGGCAAGAGACAGCCCACTTCGGCCATTAAAGGCGGACTTAATCTTGTATGGTTGGTGTTAAGCCCTCGTAACGCCGTCTCTGCGTCGGTGGCCCGCTTTTCTCCCTCCGCCGTGCGGCAATGATGAAAGCCACATTTGCCAGAAGAGCTTTTAATTCAACAACTAGGCCCCATCTCAACAAATAACCGGCTCTCCCTGCCTCGGACATTTGTGGGGCTGCGATGACGACAGCGTGTGACGGCCCAAAGACCTCCTCGGTCGGTGTGACTGGCTGTCTCGTTGCGTGTGTGTGTATGTGTGTGTGTGTGGGTGGGTGTGTTTGTGGGACTTTGACTGTGTGGACGGGTGAGTGGGTGGACGAGTGTGGCCTAAGTAGACCGGGCCAAGTAGGCAGATGCCGTTGCCGGCCCATGCTTACGTCAGCTGCGAATTCACCCGGC